CATTAAAACTCTAGCAGCAGCATTTTGCCTAACTGAAGACTTCTTAAAGAGTTTTTTGGATGCCCGGATAATAAAGAATTACAGTAATCCTGTTGAGACGTGATAAATGCATGAATCATTTATTCTGCATCATTTTTGGACAAGATGTTTCTAATTTTAGTGACATTACGCAGGTGGAAGAAGGCGGTCCTGGTAACATTTTTAATGTGGGTGTTAAAATACATTTTGATCAAAAATAACACCATGGTTAGACACATTAGAACTTTTGGCCAGATTAATGCCATCCAGAGGACACCTCCTTTTTCTTCTGAATGCGGGGAGGAGGACAGAACACGCAAAAGTCCCGGACTGAGCCGTCTAATGAAAAAGGCCATTGTCACACTTTTGCCCTTGGTAAGGGGCAACACAAATTCAGGAGGTAGCATTGGTTTGATTTTCACACCTAATGAAGAGATTGAACATTATGCAAACGTCACGATTTATATTAAAATTTCTTTCTCTTTCTGTCTGTCTGTCTGTCTGTCTTTCTTTCAGAGGGACATGCTGGATGTCAGTCAGATAATGAGGGATTTGGCCAGTATGGTCCATGAACAGGGAGATGCTATTGGTAAGTGTCTGGATGTGGTTTCTCTCTTTCCTCACAATGATTTCAAATCTGAACCTATTGACAATGAACTGATTAATAATTAGAGCTAAAAYATTCTTCTGGGGAAACAGTCTTTAACGTTTGCCTCGCTGCCATGATGTGAAACAAAAAGCTGTGGGTTTACATCGACAGAAGGCTGTGAGAGAAAATCCATTTGGACACCGTGATATGTATAAAAGCCTCTCTGCTCTCAGCGTGGATGAGGGCCCTGTGTTAGCACACAGATACAGATGCTCTGCAGCCAGGTCAACTGGGTTCCATCATCATCAACACTCAGGGCACATCTGACATTTATGTGGTAAAAAGGGACTGAACTGATGGACTGGAGGTTAATCCAGGCTGGAGATAGAAGGTCTGAGAAGTTCAACTGAGATTAGGATTTTTACCTTTTGTCTTGGTTAGAAAATATTTGAACCAACTCCCTCATTTATCACTCATTGCTGAAGGGCCAATTTTACTTTTGTCTGTGTGCCTGTGTTCATTTAACAACACATCTCATGAACCACTGAACCGATTTTAAATGGCTATAACTCAATTAATTGTATTAATATTGAGATATAATTTGGCGTGGCAATCACTGAGTGTAGCAGCGGTRAATTGGTCACAAGAACGCTTTCTGAATTATTTTATTCCTGGTACACAGAAACACAAGGCAGCCAGTGCAGATACGTGTTCCTATCCCTCTACATTATGGATAAAATCTTTTTTTTCATCTAAGACATTACACAGTTTCATTGAGCATACTCCAACTGAAAAGTACAAAACGTCTGTCCATGCAAAGTCATAAACGTGAACACAACATAGCTAGTTCGACTGTTAGGGAAGAGAAGAACAGAGCATCTTAGTGGCATGGAGACACAACAGATACTGAGTTCAAAGAAGCAGAATGTGGCAAATGCGCTCAAGGTGTGCAGTCAAAACCTGCCTCAACGGAAACTGTGGCTACACAGAACTATTCACAATAAAGTGTAATTCTGATGACATTTGCAAGGAAATAAAGACATAAAATATATATGGATAATACTACAGAGAATTAGTTTTTAGTACATTTACACACTAAAAAAATAATCACTTAAAGGGGCAATATTATGTRTTTCTCAGGCATGCATTTRAATACTATATCATAATAAAGTATCTATGTCACCTTTAGYTGTTATTAAAATGCKKTTTTTAAGTTTAARTAGAAAATAAACTTATCTTCTCATCACTTCCTCTTCTGAACGCTTTGAAATTGGCCTCTGTCTCTTTAAGAACCTCCTTCTGCTTCTGTTCCGTCCTGTTCTGTGCGGGGGGATTCACGCACGGGGGGCTGGTGCGCGCGGTGGGGTGGGGGTTGTTCGTGCGTGCGCTATGATGCAGTTTACTTGGCATCTGAAAGTACATTTCCTCAAAGGTATTTTGAATCTGAAAAGAGCTTCACTGAGTGAAAAGTAGTGTTGAGAGCAGCAGACAGTTTCGGATTCAATTTTACTTTTCTCTGTTACTGCCGAGAGCCTGCAGGAGTCATGGGCGGGGTGTGTGGGGTGGGGGTGAGGAGGTTTGCTCCGTGATGGAGTAACCCTTGGATGCAGACCGCGGCATGGGGCGGGGTCGGATAACAGGCGGGGTCGGATGTCTGACCCCGCCCTCAACTCTAAAATTAACCAACCCCAGATGCTAAATACTAAAATTAACCACATCCAATTTGTTAAGCCTCTTATTAAACTTCCCTACAAGCCATGACCACNGCACGGGGGGCTGGTGCGCGCGGTGGGGTGGGGGTTGTTCGTGCATGCGCTATGATGCAGTTTACTTGGCATCTGAAAGTACATTTCCTCAAAGGTATTTTGAATCTGAAAAGAGCTTCACTGAGYGAGAAATAGTGGAGCTCAGCAGACAGTTTCGGATTCAATTTTACTTTTCTCTGTTACTGCCGAGAGCCTGCAGGAGTCATGGGCGGGGTGTGTGGGGTGGGAGTGAGGAGGTTTGCTCCGTGATGGAGTAGCCCTTGGCTGCAGACCGCGGCATGGGGCGGGGTCGGATAACAGGCGGGGTCGGATGTCTGACCTCGCCCTCAACTCTAAAATTAACGAACCCCAGATGCTAAATACTAAAATTAACCTCATCCATTTTGTTAAGCCTCCTGTTAAACTTCCCTACAAGCCATGACCACACCCACTGGATGTCCAACCCCATCTAGTATCCTAATCCGCAGTCTGCAGCCGAGAGTATTTGCCATGATGAGGAAGTTCAGCTTAAAGACACGTCCCAGGGGCGTCTCAGGTCCCAAAAGGCGTTTCTGGTCCCCACCTGTYGTTTTGCTCCTSAGCATGGCTTCCTAAAAAACACTGCAGGATTTCTCAAACATGCATGAGTGAGTCAAAGCAAGGCTTTGGGCATGTTTCTTTATGAGAGTATAACATTATAACATGATATAAAACTCAAAAAAGTTGATTTTACATGATATTGCCCGTGGAGTTCACTGTTGGAGCCAACCCTGTTTGTCTTCAACTGTCAGTCTCATATTTGTTACAATAGCTCATAAATTCCTGGGTGGATGTGTAAGTAATTTTTGAATGAGCAAACAGCTCCAAGTGTCTCAGGTCTGAATGGTTATTTCTCCAGATGTTTCAACTCCTTCCACAGATTTTAAACAGGATATAGATCAGGGCTCAGGCCAATTCAGAACAGTTCAATGTTTGGTTCTGATCCATTCCTGGGTGTTTTTAGCTGTGTGTTTTGGAACATTATCCTGTTGGAGGACCCATAAGCTGAAACTGAGACCAAACTATTGGCAGTAAATTCCTCTTCAGAATGAAACAACTAATCAAATTTAACCAACCTATAAATGAGCTACAACTCATTCATTTTATCAGATATTGAGGTAAAATCTGATACATAATCTCCCATTCATTCAAAMATACAGGACTCAGAGTGTGATATCTGGTGATATCACATGAGATAATCCCAAACATCGTTTTCAAGGRTTCACAAAGTAACTCCATATTTTCTATATATCATATGATCTTAGTATAAAACTCTGGCATGAAGACAGTGGAAGATTTGTATTCCTTCAAGGAATGACTTCTATGGACTTTTAAAATCCAACAGACTCAAAATCTTTGTGAATTAATTATCAAATTTATTTTAGTTGTTTTTTTTTTCATCAAATATACATAATTTAACTGGAATGGCAAAAATGAAAGGGATAAATGATGTATAGAAATGGATTTGATTTCAACTAAATTTCCACGTGATATTTGTGGGGGTTTTTTTTTTTTTCAGATTTGAGGTGATAAAAATCTTTTACCTGTTTGTCTAAACCAGGGGTGAGCAATCCTGGTCCCAGAGCGCCGCAGCCTGTTTTACTTGTTTCTCTGCTCCAACACACCTGATTGGAATGAGTGGGTGATTATCATCCTTCTGCAGAATTTGGAAGAGGTCATTTAATGACTGAATCAGACACTTACCATTAGTAAAATACGCACCCTCAATTTAGATCCAAGCAAGYTATATTTGTGTGTGCGTGTTTGAGTGTGTGTGTGTTAATATGTCTGTAAGCAAAACATTTCAATGCACTAGATAGATTACTGAAACTCTTGGACAGTAATCAATGGACATGCAGCTACAAGTAACCCAAATAAAAATGGCTGCCAACCCAAAACTAGTTATAACTTAGCCAGTTTTACAGCTTCTGATGTAAAAWTTGGTGTTGTAGTAACTGATCAGAGCACTATCCATCTTATAAAATAATGCTATTTTGTGGAACTTACACATCATTACRATGTTTGACCAAAACAGCTGTAGCTCTATTATTTCTCAGTATWAGGTGAGCATAGTGAACTTCCTTTAAGCAATGTTATCATTTAAAATACCTTTATTTTTTTTCTTATTTTGAAAGTTGCACAAGCATCTATTTTTATTTTAAAACTGCAAGCTGATGCACATCAACACAGCAGATGTGTCTTATCTGATGCTCGATGATTGTTGATGTGTTCTGGACATGACAGGAGGAACGGGGTGGACCTACAAACACGTGAAGGGAAAGATAGAGGAGGACTCAGTGGAAGACTGCAGAGTTTATTAGACCACAGCACAGGTCTAATCTGATCATTACTGAGTCAGGCAATAATGGACCTTTTCCCATTAAAAAGAGATGCACTGAAATTGCCTTTGGCCTCTTTTTGAACATGGCCGTCGCGGTCGGTATGGTGGCAGATATGAATAATACAAGGCTGTACTGTGGAGGSGCTTGTCGGAAAAGCAGCAGGTAATACAAAGAAATGAATAAGCTGAAGTAGGATGGATTAGTGCTTTTATGCCCTATTCATACTGCCACATGAATATAGGCACACGATATTAAAGCCTGTGAGTCGAGATGCACAGGCAACAGTATTTCAGCCGACAGCAGACAAAGGAGACGTTAAAACCTGCTTCTTTGTACACATCAAAAGACTATCCCATTGAGGGAATTGAGTGAATGCTGACTTCACATTTACATGTTTGTTTAGCTGTTTATTGTTATTCCGTACATTGTACTACTTCTAAATACTTTTCCATACTTAAGCTTTTCATTTATCAAAATTTCCTGCTTGTTTAGGAGATGGGAGCTTTAAGTTTTGGATTTTGTAAATTTGATACTTTTAAAAATGAATTTTAGTTACAAACATTTTTCTCATAGATAAACTTTCACATCGGCTATTGTTAGCTAGTAGCTAGTGCTTTGCTATTTTTACCTTTCAGCAAGCCATTTGGCCACCATTTTGCTACTTTTAGCCATGAGTTAGCCAAAATTACTGTTTCACTTTTAGTATTCTGCCTCTTGTAGCTTTTTTACAACTCGTTTCAGCTTATTCAGCAGTTTTCAGTACTTAGCAGTCACACTGCTCTAAGGTTGCCAACTTTCCAGTAATTTCAGCCAAGTTGAAGTGTCGCGTACAGCATGGTTCGCAACCCTGGTCCTCATGGGCCCCTATCCTTTA